GTTGATGAGAAGTGTAAACTGAGGCAGACTTTGGAAAGTGTGGAGTTTGAGGAGAATGTTTGAAACCAGCTTTAGCAAGAATGCCATTAAATGTGTCTTTTGAGGATATCATTTAAGTAGAAGATGAAGATATAAGATTGATAACAGATGTTACTCAGAGATATTATTTGATGTTATAAAGAAATGATTGGAAATGTGAAGAAAGTGGGTGACTTGGTTCAGAATTTCTGTCGTCAGAGGGAAAAAACATGGCTAAAAGGAACCATAAGGTCAGGGCAGGAGTTCTTCTCTGACAAGTTTGTGCACTCTGTGTGTTTGTGTGTATGTGTTACATGTAACCATTAAATTCTGAATCTGACTGTGTATTTGATTCTGCAACCATTTGGCATTTCCAAATCTCATTTTAAAGCTGTATAAATAGAGATTTTTTTTCATGTTAATTGTTGAAAATTATTTTAAAATAATTAAAGGGGAACCCTCTGGTTGTATGTTTACTCTTGTCTTTAAAATGCTCATTTTCACACTATAAGTATCTCCTTGAGCAGTTGAAAGTGGTAGAGTTAAATTAAATATTCATTTTTTGTTTATTCACCATATATAACTTTAATATATCATCATGTGGGGCGTTGTGATGCTCTGCTCAACATTAAGCCTGGCATTATTATAAACTGTTCACATAGTACTGGCTTCACTCTGTGATGAGTACTACAAGTGGATTCGAGATCTTTTATACACATAGATCTCCAGCTTTATGTTAATCTAGGTTTTGTTTTAACCACTTGTGAAGCTAACTTAATATAGTTGCTTTTCTCTTCTGTTTTACAATAAGTTTAGCAGTCTTTTAGTAGAGATGATTTAACATATTCTGCTTATAATTTATTTTCTTCTGTCCTTAACCTCATTTTCATGGTTATCCTTTGTTTCCCCCACCAAATTACAGTTTATCATCTAATTGCCTTTTTTTTTTTTTCCTCTTGTGCTTTCTTTACAGCTCTTTGCCTTCCCACCTAAACATCAGTTATGAGGACTTTTTCTCTGCCCTTCGTCAATATGCAGCCTGTGAACAGCGTCTGGGAAAGTAGTGATCCCTGGTTGCATAATTTGATTTCAGGCTTTTGGAGAAAAGGACCCAAGTGACTCTGATGTTTACAAAGCACCTATGAAACCCTGTGCACACCTAGTTCATATTCCTCATAATTTATCAACAAACACAAAAAAGTGTCTTACTTGAGA